GAGGGGGAGAAAAAGAAGTAGAAGTTGTTACTGAGAATTCTAGGACAAGCCATCTCTCTCTTTCACACTTTTTTTTACCATAGTTAACAGGGTTCAGAGAGGAGTATCACTCATTGCTAAATTGTACAAAAGACCAGATCTAAATGGCTATACTGGCAGACTATCAGAAAACAGGATCTAGGATGGGTGTGTAAAGATTCATGGCTGTAGTTCATGTCATTCCACATATCTGAAGCTCCACCATCCATCTTCGAAGGATTCTTTCAATTATGGTCTCCAGAAAGTTTTCTTCCCCTGCCTCCCAGAGAATAACTAATTCCAGGCTTTCCCATGCCAAACATCACTTTCTTACCTCCCTCTCCTCTGTGGATGATGTGCTGCTAGAGAACAAGAAAATGAGTCTAGTTATCTTTGCATTTCCAGGACCTGATCTTAGGGCCATTTGATATAAGTATGATAGATGGATAGATCCTCATCTAATGAACGACTGACTGGAAACCAACATAAAATAGGATGCCAGAAGTCAAAATTTCTGAGTCTCCATCATCAGCACAAGGCCTGACACAGAGAAAGTGTTCGCTGAATTGTTCACTAGATTCACACTTGTAAATCTTTTCCACCTTACCATTTCTTTGTTTAAAGAGCAGAAATGCTGGTGTAATCACCTGAAAAATCGTTCGTGTATGAGTGCATGAAAAAAAAAAAAAGAGTTCATGAAGTCTCTGTGTAATACCCACCCTCATGAACAGTCGACTTTCTAGAAAGGATCAAAAGACTGAAGTCACGGTTTTTATCTCTTCATCAAAATGTCATGTAAGAACAAAAGTTAAATAGGTTAATAAGTAGAATTAGCAGATGTTTTATCAAGAGGCAAATAACTATGCATTTTGTTCTTGAAGTTGCTGCGAGAAGTTTTAAGTAAATACCATCTGCACCAAATTGAAATGGAATTATTTTTCCCCAGGAATGGAATTTGAAATAGTAAAATTTCCTTGCGCCATTTATTCCTTTCTGATACACCTAGGTATTGATGTAAAATGTCAGAGATTCTAGTTCTAATGTTTTATAATAAAAATTTAACAGCGTTATCAGGACCACATGTTTCCAGTAAGTCCTTCGAAGGCCTACTCGCATAGAATAGGCTTTGGACAATTTTTTTTTTCTCCCAAAGATGGGAATCAGATATTTCAGGTTTCTCAAAGGACAGGAAAAAAACATCTACGCATTACCTTTCCTCCGGGAGAGCTGCTGTAGGCGGCAGGTTCTTTGTTATCTTACCTACCAGGCATAATTACTTACGTGGAGTGAAATAAGGAGCCATCTTTTTCTAAGTAGCCCTCATAGTGGACCAACATCAAATCCCCTCCTTTGGTCTTGCGGTGGCAGATGAATGGCTTCTGGAGGACTTCAATTTTCACTTCTGGCTCCGGGATCAGAGCTCCACTCAAAGACGTGATTAACAACGTAAAGATCGAGTTCCAGAAGAAAAACCTCATGTTACTACTGACCCTGGAAAGAAGTCACTGCGAAAGGAGAAAAGGCCCCCGACTGCACAGAGTTAAAAAGGCAGTTCTAGGCTTAGGGACAACGGCCTCTGGCAGGCTCAGGACTCTCCCTCTTAGAAGACGTGGCACTTTCACTACTAACAACTTTCCCACGCTTTGCAAGCTGGCTAGATAGCGTTAAACCCTAACCGGACCTTGACGGGTTATTACAACGCAGCGCAGGGGAACGGCCAACTCCCATTGGCTGGAGGTGCTGTCGCTCAGCACCTCTCCAGCCAATAACGCTACAACCGTGAAATTTACAGCCCCCTTGAGCCTCACAGCCTACCCGCTGGGAACTGTTGACTGGAGTCCTAGAGCCTAGGTATGAAACTTCCACTAGCTGGGATTTGGGGAAGAGGGTGCAGCGCGAGCGAATTGGCAGCTCCGCGGGGAGTCGTGCCCCCAGCGGAACAAGGCGGGGAGAGTCGGAGCCAACGGACATCGTAGGGGGGTTTCAGGAAGATTACTTTGTTTACTCTCACCTGTTTACGCGACCGTGGAAGCATGCCCTCCCGCCCAAGATTCCATAACCCAAGGCTTCTGATATTAATTATGAATATACAGTATGAACTGTAATGATTTACAGGATGCTTTAGAGTTCGCAAAGCGCATTCCGAGAGCATCAAGCACATTACAACAGTACGACAAGGTCTTTTATCTTACTTAGAAGACAGGTGTTGCCCCTTAAAGTCCCTTAGCCCCAGAGCATTTGAGCTCTGCCTTGAAACCAGATCTGATTAGTTTCACAACACCAAGTAATGTTATAACTGCTGATTTTTTCTCAAGTTTTTTCCACTTAATCCTATGAATAGTTTTATCCGGAACAAACATCCTTAAAGCAGTGCATTTTCACACCCCCGCCCTATAAGAATTCCCCTAGGGATCTTGTTAAAATGCACATTTTATTTATTTATTTATTTATGTATTTACTTTTCTTTTTTTTCTCAAAGTTTTATTGATAAACAGATAGCAATGAGACAGTTTCAAATCAAATCGGAAGTACAGTTTTAACAAATAACACACTGCATATATTCTTCTCAGTGGTTAATTGCTGTACAAGATGCGGACTTGTGATCCTATTTACAAACACCATTAGAACAAATCATTCTATTCATTAAGAGAATGCAACTATATATCTATCCTAACCACTTTGAATACACAGATACAAAATGGACATTCATCGGTATACCCCATTTTTTCTAAGTTCCGATATTGAATATTATAGGTGTGTAAACTCAGCAGAATATTATAAAAGAGTCCAGTAGCCCATCATAGCATTGGGTCTTCTGTTTAACTGGCAATGTCAGAAATTATTGACCTGAGTCCGCCACAGCTCAACTTAACAGCATGGCTTTCCTTCCTATATTTTGTCTTCATACTTTTTTACTGGATGGTTAAGACCAAGGTAAAGCAGGACCTGTGCAACAAGAGTTGTAGCTTTTTGGTCTGAGGTCAAATGCCCTCAGGATTTATCCTGAGATCCTGTACCTCAGATTGTAGAACCTTTGTCAGTGCAGCCATGTGGATGAGTCACGGCCATTGCTTGGTCAATGTAAAATGCACATTTTAACTTGGAGGTGGGGGCTTGGCGGAGATTCTGCATTTCTATCAGGCTTCCAGGCGGTGTCAGTGCCTTCTGTCCCAAGACCACGCTTCCAGGAGCAAGGCCTTTTAAGTTTGCATAAAACCCTTTTACACTGGGTGTGGCATTCTATCTTGAAATTCTCACTTCCTGGGTCAGAGAGAGGGGTCACTGAGCCCTCTTGTTGGATGTCTCCGACCAATCAGACAACCTTGAAGTAAAGATAGCGTAAGGGGTCGAGTAACCCCTCAAACTTTGCGAGCTGGAAGCCTACTCCTGAGCGCTAAGAGGCTTTCTACTCCTCTCACCTACGCCCACTCCCGAGTCAGCACCCAAAGACTCAATTTCCCGGCAGGCGTCTCGGGCTGCCGCAGCTCGGCAGCCGTCGCCGTCACGTCGCCGCGAAACCACGGAGTGGATTTCCGGAACGTGGGCGCGAGCGGCGCACTGCGCATGCGCAAGCGTGCACGGGGCCTGCGGGTCAGGGGCTGAGGTAAAGCTGGGCGCAGCGGGCTGCGGTCCGGCTCGCTGGTCGCGCTCGGGCGGCTTCGGCTCCCCCGACTCCTTCCGGCACCTGGGCCTGCTCGTGGACGTCAGGTCCCACCCCAGCGCGGGCCTTCGCTGGCTGCAGTGACCCCGCCCCCGGGCCAAGGATGTGAGCGTCTAGCGCCGGGCCGGGCCGGGCGCCGGCAGTAGGCGTCCGGGTCGCGCCGGGCGATGGCCTTGTTGCTGGTACTGCTCGCAGCCCGGGGCCAGTGAGGGACCGGCGCGCTCTGTCGAGAGGCCCGGCGCGGCGCCATGGAGGGCGTGCTGTACAAGTGGACCAACTACCTGAGCGGTGAGAGCTGCGCCGGGGCTGGGGGCCGCCCCTTTGTCTGGGGCCGGGGGCGGGGGGCGCCCGCGGGGCTCGGGCTGGTGGTCCTCCGCCGAGGCTTGTGCCGGCCGGAGCGCCTGCCCGGGCATTTCTGGCCCGGGACCGAGTCGCCCTGACGCGGACCTCAGGCGCTCGGTGCGAATTTCAAGGAGAACCACAGCAGGCTAAGGCTTGGGGTGACTTCAAAGGCACAGTGCCTTAGGTACCCCTGGGAACGAAGGACCCAGGCCCTGCTGTGGGGGTCTCTGAGTCACTCGAATTCTCAGAGGAACTTGGGCTCGTCTGGCGCGTCTCCAGGTTGGAAGGCTTCAAGTGAATGCCGGCTATCTCCTGGAATTCTAGGGGGTGTGACGTCCTTTATCAAAGTTCTAGTACGGACTCTTTGGCGTCGTCGGTTTACAGTCATCTGTGCATACCAAGATGTCAGTTCCAGCCCGGCAGTTACAAAATTACGAAGTATGCATAAGGTTTTTGATTCTTCTTTCTGTTTCTTTGGTTTTACGGACTCAGAAATTCCCCTAAAATGAAGACAAATATTGGCACCTGTTTTGCATTGCTGAACAGCGTCTTTAAAAATATTTGCCTCTTTTCTAATTTCTGGAAGTTCTTCCTAATCTTCAGAAGATTCTATTTCTCAGCTGGGAAGAGGATTTAAAAAGACCAGGGGTTTGTTTTGTTTCGTTTGTGCAACCAGAATTTAATGAGAGTCTACATATAGCTGTAAACCATGTTGGACACTTCTTTGAAATTAAACTTTTTTTTGTTATAGAATATGGGCTAAGCATTTACAACTTTAATGGTAGTGTACTTGAAACCAAAAGTGTCCCCAATATCTTCTACGGTGGAGAAGAAAGATTTTTCTAATTCTTTCTTCCACTGGACAGTTGTTGCAAGGTTCAGTTGTAGTGATTTTCATGTTTTAAGGATGTGTGTGAAGATAATTTAGTAAAGTAATACCGAGGAGTTTGCAGCACACCACACAAACAAAGGTGCACCTGTTGGGTCATCAGAATCTCCTTTCTGTGCATAGTGTAACCAGTAATACATTCTGTTTATTTTTTCTCTAATTGCTATAGATGAGTAAGGAGAAGGCTTTTCTTTATAAGGCCTAGTCTGTTTCAAGGTCCTTTGGTGATGCCGACAATTAGATGACATTAGATGTGGATAATTCAAAGCTGAACTTCAGTTTAATGAAGGTCAGAAACTGATTAACCAGAAGCTGAGCTTCATTTTAATGAAGGGCAAAAGCTGATTAGTGAAGGCCAGAAACGGATTATCACTTATTAGCACTGCTAATAATGTAAGGGGAGAAAGCTTGACAAGGTAGGCCATTTTCCTCTTGAAGTCTCCACACTGTTAGATGCATGCATCTTAATGTCTTTAAATCAGATTTAGTTGCTTGTCTGTCACTCAAGCTTTTTTTAAAGTTTTTTTCACTCCTAACAATATTCCTTTTTATCTCATCTCTATTCTCATTTTTAAATCCCCTTCTTAAACCTCTTACGTTTTTCCTCACTACATGGAGAGTTAGGTCCCTTAATACAGTACCTATTTCTTGGTGATGAAATGCTATCCCATCCTTCTGTATCCCTCATTAAAGCAATATTCCCTAAAAGGTTCTTTTAGAAACTTTGTCATTTGATTCCCATGCCATCTGTTACGTTGAAAAAAGAAGCTACAAAGAAAAAGTAGGTAGTACTGTGAGTAGTGCCAGGATGGAAGCCCAAATGAAAAGGGACCTTGGAGCCACTGCCAATGGCTGCTGTGTCTATATCCTGCTGCTTTTTTCTTTTGACTTACATACCCCCTACTGGTGGGCATGCTGTTGATGATTATCACACTAGTGGCCACTTTCCTGGATATACTTAGAATTAGGTTGAAAACATTCCTTTCACTAGGAGATAAGGTTACTTTAGGAAAAGAATGGTAAAAGCCCTAAGAGATAACATACATTATCGTTTATTCCACCCTTAGTATTGGCCTCTCAAAAGAACATGTTTGAGTGTCAGTAACAAATTTTGATGACCTCATCACTACTTTTTTCTAAAGTTTATTTTTTAAAGTAACTTTTTCTTGTGGTTTTGTACATCATAACTTTGAAATTTGTATAATCCCAGTTCAATTCAAAGTTTTGGGTTTTCTGAGGTTTTTTTCAAAAGGAATTGTTAACTTCTGTTTCATTTATGTATTTTTGTCATGTGGACACCTTTACATGAAATACTCTGTCGTTTTGTTTGTTTGTTTTTGCAGTTCCTGGGATTGAACTCAGGGCCTTGTACTTGCCCGGCAAGCACTTATTCTACTGAACTATCTCCCTAACCCTCTGTGTCAAGTTTGATTGAATAAGTTAAATCAGTTTATGGCTTGACCCTTAGAATCTTATTTTGTTTACCTCTATTTGTTTATTAGTTTTTGTTTTGCCAGGCTCTACACCCCCACCTTCATATTATTAATTTCATTTATCATATGTAATGTGTATGGTATTGTGCTAGGAATAAAGGAAGCTTAGTTGAACAAGAAAGACACGTCCAGTCCTCCTTGAGCCTACAGTCTGGTGGATAAGTGATTCAAAGCCTGCTCTAAGTGGGTGTAATGAGGCAGGGGGAGTAGAGAGGGTGGAGGGTATTTTGGGGTGTTGAGGAAAATTCATTGGAGTAAGCAGAGCCTGAGGGACAAATTAAACTAGCTGGGGCTTGGAGGCTCTGGTGTGGTGGAGCCCAAGGCCTCAATGCTCAGTGGCAGGCTGTAAGGAAGAACTGTCGAGGCATGGGAAATGCCAGGGTGAAGGCCTAAAAGGAGGACTGAGAGATACCCTTGAGTTTGAGGAAAGGAAAGAGGATCCATTTGGCTGGAGACTTGAGAACAAGTGAGGAGAGAGCGAAGTGGGAGGCCTGATATTATAGGGCTTGATAGGCTGGACACTGGTGTGATTGTGTGTGTGCATGAGAAAATGGTCAGATTTTTAAGTTTGACATGTAGAAAGTTTTTTGGTTGCATCCTTCAGCTGCATTTATTGTGTTTTGCCAAGTAGTGCGGTTTTGTGAGCTTCTTGAATTAAAGTATCAATTACAGAAAGTTAGAAACATCCAACCCTAAGACTAGTATCCAAATTGCTTCAAGAATGTATGTATAGAGTGCAGAAACAGGAGTTTCTTTTCACTCAGTTGCTAGGTGTACTTGTACCCTGTGTGCCTTCAATGAAAAAATAGAAGAAAAGCTTCTGAGCCATCTTGATTTTGAAGGACAGAGCATTGTTCCCTTTGGGATTTAGTGTTGAAATCTCTTAGATGGTAAAAGATTAAACTGAGGCTGGAAAGGGAATGGATAAACACTTAGAAATGCCTTTATTGTGGTACTAAGGCAGTGTGCCCCTGCTAGGCACTGTATGCTACTGTATCTTTCAAGTCCTAAAATTTAGTCAAGAAATTTTTTTTTTACATTTTTAAATTTTTATTTTAAAGAGAAAGATAAAAAGATAAAAATAATGGTACAGAGTTTCAAAGCAGGAGAATAAATTAACAATGGTTAATGTATTGCATATTGTTGACTTCAAAATTGTTGCTCAAATTGCAAAATAAAGGCGTGCAAAATGTTAATCAGTATAAGCACAAACTGATCTTTTCAATGGGCTAAAAGAAATTAATATGCTAGTATAAAATTCTGTTAGCTATTGGCAGTGACAGAGCTGATGGTATTCCACTTCAGTCTGATTCCATAGCCAATGTTCTACACCATTCATGTATAAAAATTTTTTAAAAAAATTAATAGCACTTACAGTGTGCCACTACTGTAAACAGTTTACATAGATTAACTTACTTATTTTGTAGCAACTTTGGGAAACAGTTGCATTTACTTTGCCCTCTTTTCATATGAAGACACTGATTGAGTCAAAGAGGAGTGGAATGAGCCCAAGATCACAGTTATAAATTGTGCTGCTTCAGAGGCAGCACTCCATTATGTCATAATTTTCAAGGTCCTTCCTACTTGAGCATTATATAATTCTAGCTGATTCATAATGTATTTATGCGTTACATGTGTTTGATCCAAAATATGAGAAGTCTCATTTGGTGGAAGGAAATGGGGAGGAGTTCAGGAATGAAGAATGTGCCTGTGTTTTTCCGTAGGTTTTCTTGAGCCATACTCTCCATTTTGTAGTTTTAGGACCTTTAAGTTAGCAGACAGAGGGTTACTGCATGGGCTGTGGCCAGTTCCAAGCATTTTGGGGCTGTCCAGCAAGTTAGCAAGCATGTTACAGCACTTCCAAATAGAGCAAAAGCTTCTGCCATGCTGGCTAGCTGGTTGTCATTGGGGAATTGCTGTGATTTTTTTTTTTTGCTTCCCTCCAGGTGGAAGGTGAATCTTGCCTCATAATTGTGCTGTGTGTCAGGAAGATATCTGCAATATGAGTGATCCAGAGGAGAAATCTCACTCTCACAACCATTAATCAGTGTTTTTTGTTGTTATCATTCCACATCTTCTTGAGATTATTTGGCACCTAAAAATCACCCATTTAAAATGTATTAAGTCAGTGGTTTCATGTTTGTACAGAGTCCAGGCATTGCAATCATTTTCATTATCCTAGAAAGAAACTATTAGCAGTCACTTTTGTACCTGCCCCTTAATTTTTTTTTAAAAATTTTATTTTAATTTGAAGAGTGAAAACAGAAGCAAAAAGAAATAGAAAAAAATGACAGAAACAGGGTAACATACAACAATACATATGTTACAGATTTTGAAAACAGAGATGGCTAATTAACAATGGTTGCTATATTATCTATTTTTTTTATTGTAATGAAAAAAAAGATAAAAGAACACAACAGTTTCAAGACAGGTTAGTATCTGTCCCTTAATTTTGACAATCACTAATCTATCTACATAAATTTGCTTATTCTAGACATGTCATATACATAGTCATAAGATATGTGGCCTTTCATCATTTGTATCTTTTCCTTAGCACTTTTTTT